GACATAAAAGTTTTAATTTTTAAAACAATTTTGTTCATGAAATAATAAATTATAACGAGAACATACACATCACTAGCTTTTATTTATATTCTGCTTATTATATTAAAATTATAACTTTTATATTTTTTATTAGAATTAGTGTAAAAATGCATTTAAAATATGCTAATAAGGCTTTGTGCAAAAGTATATATTTAAGGTTTTTATATGTAATATTACTGTCACTATGAATTCTCCGCATTAATTTTATATTTACCTAATAAAATTTTCTTTAATAGATATTTCGGAAGGTTTATGCTGAACATACACTGAAAATTTTATTATTTTTAGAAGATGAGGGGTTTAACATATCCAATTAATTTTTAATAAGCTCCCTGAATATGTAGTTTTCCTTAAATAAATAGGCCTATCTTCTCATCCATAACAGATGTTTTTAAGTAAATTTCATCCTTAATTAATTTTTGTGGAGGGATTTCTTAGATGAAGCATTTTATAGATTTATAATCCGAAATTAAAATCTTTTAAAAGGAAGAAACTATTCTCGTTATGAATACGCTGATTTCATTTTAGCTTTATACATTTTTTTGATATGCATAAATATTTCTTCTTACTTAGTAGCAAATGTAATTAATTTTCGTATACATATTTCTATTTTTTTAAAAAGCTAATGAACATTTATTATTATCTGAAATTAATTATTAGCCAACTATATGAATAATTATGTAAGAAAATAAGAAGGTAAAATACACTCTAACAGAAAATTTTGTTTTAAATAGCAGTTAGAGATGACCTGCTACAAATGGCAAGAGTGTCGCATCAGTAGGAACTGGCGTTCGGACCAGAAGCGTCGTGATTCGTTTTGTGTAAGCAGAGTTGTGCACCCACAGAGATTCATCACCAAATTCAGAATTTGGTGAACATTGCAAAATATTGTGCGCATTACAAATGGGCACATTTCACGAAGAACCACCTTAAAATTAGAAATATTTGAAAATTATAATAGGTCTAAATCTTAAAAATTGTCTTCAGGCTTATAAAAGAAGAACTTACGAAGAGGGTATATTTCCGATAAGAAATCAAAAAAGCAATGCAGGAATGATTGTTGGTAGTTAGGCGGGAATCGGTAATTTTTCGAACAATTCTAGAAATGCTTGCACCACGCCACGATTAAATTTATACCAGAACGAGAGAAGCAGCAGTTTTAGACGCGTGGTATTATCTGGTCGAGTGAAAAGTGGTGCGAAGTTACTGTGCGTGGGGACTGTGACGGAACACCTATAAATTGTAATACCAGCTACTCGTTACAAGCCTACCGTTCAGGCCTTACGCGTCGGTGGAGTATTTTATTCGAAGCTTGTATCTGGATCATAATGGGTCAGGCTAATTTCTTAACGTGTACTCGACTCGGAACATTTAAGGGGGGGGCCTTTGCGACTATATGGCCCAGTACACAACTCATACGTGTAGATCTGGTGTGCAAGCGCCACATTGTCTTGTAGACCATTTGGTACTGGCCTGAGTATTATAAGTAGTAGAGCAACTGCCATATTGGGGTCTTCAAAGAGACTAGTGGTCCTCGAAGAATGATTTTTATCTTATTTGTTTCATTCGAATGCTTGTTACTTTACAGTTGGTCCTCGAACTATTTGCATTTATAGTATTAAACATACTTAAGGGTTTTTTTATATTTACTCTTACACTATTGAAGGAAATGTAAGCATCATTATTCTTCGCATTTTGAGGTTTCAGATAATTTTTATTAGTTTTGGAAAGGCTTAAAGAAAGATATCTTACAAATAAAAAAATGTTTCATTACATTCAAAAGAAACCAAAATTGAGGAGAAAAAATAACTTAACATTATTTAATTTGCACTTTTTAATCGTTAATGAAAGCAATAGCATTTAGTAATTTGCGGAGAGGCATTTTATCAGTATACTCTTTCGTAGAGGAAATGCACTCACTTTTAAATTTAAGTTTCCCTTAATGCAAATTCGCAGAAATTTAAATTAAGTATGGAAAATGAACTTAGTTTTATGGTCTTATGACTATTGGAAAGAAAAAACTACAGAAAGTAAACTACAGAAAGCAAAAGCAACACACTGAACACTCTCTGAACTTCTCTATTAATGTATATGAACATGTCATTGATAAAATTATATTAAAAAAATGTTCTTACGACGAATAATCTGTATTAATAGAAAAGATCATATTTATATTTAATACTAAATCTGTTATTAGAAGTAATGAATTTTTGGAAGAAATTTTAAAAAGAAATTAAGTATGGAAAATGAACTTAGTTTTATGAACTTAGTCTTATGACTATTGGAAAGAAAAAACTACAGAAAGTAAACTACAGAAAGCAAAAGCAACACACTGAACACTCTCTGAACTTCTCTATTAAAATGTATATGAACATGTCATTGAGAAAATTATATTAAAAAATGTTCTTACGACGAATAATCTGTATTAATAGAAAAGATCATATTTATATTTAATACTAAATCTGTTATTAGAAGTAATGAATTTTTGGAAGAAATTTTAAAAAGAAATTAAGTATGGAAAATGAACTTAGTTTTATGAACTTAGTCTTATGACTATTGGAAAGAAAAAACTACAGAAAGTAAACTACAGAAAGCAAAAGCAACACACTGACCACTCTCTGAACTTCTCTATTAAATGTATATGAACATGTCATTGAGAAATTATATTAAAAAATGTTCTTACGACGATAATCTGTATAATAGAAAGATCATATTTATATTTAATACTAAATCTGTTATAGAAGTAATGAATTTTTGGAAGAAAATTTTAAAAAGAAATTAGTATGGAAATGAACTTAGTTTTATGAACTTAGTCTTATGACTATTTGGAAAGAAAAAACTACAGAAAGTAACTACAGAAAGCAAAAGCAACACACTGACACTCTCTGAACTTCTCTATTAAAATGTATATGAACATGTCATTGAGAAATTATATTAAAAAATGTTCTTACGACGAATAATCTGTATTAATAGAAAAGATCATATTTTATTTAATACTAAATCTGTTATAGAAGTAATGAATTTTTGGAAGAAATTTAAAAGAAATTAAGTATGGAAAATGAACTTAGTTTTATGAACTTAGTCTATGACTATTGGAAAGAAAAACTACAGAAAGTAAACTACAGAAGCAAAAGCAACACACTGAACACTCTCTGAACTTCTCTATTAAAGTATATGACATGTCATTGAGAAATTATATTAAAAAATGTTCTTACGACGAATAATCTGTATTAATAGAAAAGATCATATTTATATTTAATACTAATCTGTATTAGAAGTAATGAATTTTGGAAAAATTTAAAAAGATTAAGTTGGGAAAATGACTTAGTTTTATGAACTTAGTCTTATGACTTTGGAAAGAAAAACTACAGAAAGTAAATACAGAAAGCAAAGCAACACACTGAAAACTCTTTCTCTATTAAAATATATGAACATGTCATTGAGAAAATATATAAAATGTCTTACGACGAATAATCTGTATTAATAGAAAAGATCATATTTATATTTAATACTAAATCTGTATTAGAAGTAATGAATTTTTGGAAGAAATTTAAAAAGAAATTAATATGGAAAATGAACTTAGTTTTATGAACTTAGTCTTATGACTATTGGAAAGAAAAAACTACAGAAGTAAACTAACAGAAAGCAAAAGCAACACACTGAACACTCTCTGACTTCTCTATTAAAATGTATATGAACATGTCATTGAGAAAATTATATTAAAAAATGTTCTTACGACGAATAATCTGTATAATAGAAAGATCATATTTATATTTATACTAAATCTGTTATTAGAAGTAATGAATTTTTGGAAGAATTTAAAAAGAAATTTAAGTAGGAAAAACTTAGTTTTATGAACTTAGTCTTATGACTATTGGAAAAAAAAACTACAGAAATAACTACAGAAAGCAAAAGCAACACACGAACACTCTGAACTTCTCTATTAAAATGTATATGAACAGTCATTGAGAAAATTAAAAAATTTCTTACGACGAATAATCTGTATAATAGAAAAGATCATATTTAATTTTAATACTAAATCTGTTATTAGAAGTAATGAATTTTTGGAAGAAATTTTAAAAAGAAATTTTGAAAGCAACATCGCAAATAATAGGAATTTCTATTAGCGCTTAGGAATATAAAACTGAGAAAATTATTCAGACCTTGCATAGCTTTAGAAATTAATTTCATTTTAGAAGGATAAAAGATTAGAATGGGGTTTAGCATAATTCTGTTTATATTTCATACTTTTATTACAGTCTATGAACATTTATAATCTGTTAGAATTTCTGTTATATATGCTATATGATTTTAAATAATATTTTTAAATGCTAAATGTTTAGATTTTCAAATATTCTCATATTTTATTTTAGTTATGAAAATTAACATTGATGCGTTGGTTTTTAATATTAAGATTTTTGAACGTATTGGTGCAGGATTTAAAAGCGTAATATTAATTATGGTGAGACAAAGCAAAGTAAAACGCAGTAACTGTAAAAATTAATAACATTTATACCTTTCAATGTAAAAGATGTATTAATGTAAAGGATTTATACCTTTTAATGTGTATAACTGAATAGAATAATAATGAAAATAACAAAATTGTCTCTATGCACAGAATAAGGTCGAAAATTTAAGAGGAAAAAATGAACAAAATTTTAAATTTCGTAATTTTATTTTAGTGATGGAAAATTTAAATGCGATTGTATAGACTAGTGATCTCTTAAGATATCAATTTAGTTCGAAAACGAATTGCATAATATCACTGCTGTATATTATACGTAATTGGCATAACGTAGTTTCCAATTACATATGAATCAATGAATATTTATTTATGTAGTTTTATTAAACCGTAATTTTCTTACTAAAGCAAACTCTGAAACTAATTTTTTACTTGCTATTATTATAAAACCTTTCTGCTGCAGTATTTCTTGTATTATAATAAGTTTCAATTTTCTTAGGCATGCGACATACGATAACAGAAGACGGCCTGTACATCCGGGACCTGAAACCGTCAGATGCTGGGAATTACACGTGCCGAGCATTCGTCGTTGCGCCCCACAGCTCACAGATGAAGGATCGGAACATAATCGTCCACGTCCACTGTACGGTTCGTTTACTTCTACTTCCAATAAGAAATACATTAACTCACATACCTAACTCCGTATATCACTGTACTGCTGAAAAGATTGTTGTTTCTATACGTTACGATGAATGAGCCAGTTTGTTTTCTCCTGAAGCAAATTTTCAATGCAATCGATTAAACTTCCATTGGGGAAATTGCTTTTTTTATTAAATGGAAGAAGCAACTGAATTTTTTTTCCATTTGTAGTCATTTCATTAAAAAATACAATTAAAAACGATTTTTACACAATACGCTTTTATATAAAATGGGTATGATAATTAATAATAAGAAAAATAATTTATCATTGCAATTTATTGGAAATAATAGATTAAATAATTATATTTTCAGAATTCATCTACAATTTTATACCGTTAACAATAACAGCGTGAGGCGTCTACGGTAAATTTAAAAGGAAATGGTTAATACATTTGACAATCCAATTAAATTATTGGAAAATGATAAAAGATAATGGATTATACAATTGAATATGCAATTAAATTAAAATTAATTTCGTTATTTGGGAACACCAGGCTTGGATTATTCGCGATATACAATTGGAGGACTATACAATCTATTACTTAATCTATTTATTATTTCCATTAATCTCTACAATACATTATTATTTTCCTTTCAATGCATTAATTATCATATCCATTTTCAATTAAATCTTATTGTATAAAATTTCTTTTAATTTTATTTTATGTTCTGTTTTTAGTCTCAATTAAATGTTATCAATTATGAAATTTTTAGTCAATATTAAGATACAAAAGATTTTACAATTATAACAAAATTGTGAAATCAAGAAAATTAACTGAACGTCATTCAAAGAATCATTCAGAGATTGAAGAAATCGCTTTGAATATTTAGTTTCGAAATTTGGATGTAAGAGCAATGTTATAAGGATCATTTTACTTGAAGCTGAAATGAAAATCGAACATGACTAGTTCATCGTTAAGTGTACCATGATGGCAAACACGTGACAAAGTGCAACAAAATAGCAAACTCAAAAGCAACTTTCCAGTGAGGAACGTCTCGCCCCCCGATCTACTGCAGACAGCAATACACTTTTTTTTAAATGTAGACAATCGCTCAATTAATGTTTTTATCATTCTTGCTTTAAAACAGAGCAAAAAGTGTGTTTTATGATCTCTGAAATTTTAAGCTTTAAATCCGATATTTTTTGTATTGAAATTTTAATATAATATACATTAAATAATCTAAAATATCTGGCGATTTTCAAAAATTCAGATGACAGTTCGCTATTAACAGAATTTGGCTATTGAGCATTCCCCTCCCCAGCTGTCTTTTAAGTGAACGAAAATGTAAGGAATTATCTTCTTCCTTTACCTTCGTGCTGTAATTGGAGTCACGTCCAGTTGGTCCGGATTTGAATTCCAATGAATACATTGTAATTTCTTATGTTCCGAAATAAACATAATCTAACTAAAAAACTAAATGCAGAAATATTAAAGCGTCTAATAGTAAATGTGTAATGATTAATTATGGCAAAAAAATTCAAATTCTTTTATCTTAGGATGATAAGTTTAAAAACGGCAATATTGGACCTGCAAGTGTGACTCGGAAGAAAGTTTTGCATGCATATTGTTTCGAAAACCAGATGAAATGTCCCAAGCATATATCCCATTTAGTACCTGATCTTCTTAAAACGCTTGGTAAGGTCTTTGAACGATGGTGAGAGTATTCATGTGACTGATCCGTATGGGTTACCTAATGCCATATTACAGCATTAAATTGAAGTACGTAAGGTGGCATTAAACCTTGCTTTCAGCATTCCATAATTTTGAGAATGATCATGTCCACAACTCTATCAGTGCCGAATTATTACATTGAAATACAATATATCTTCAAAATTATCAAATTATAAAAGGAGATTCAACCGTTGAAGGATAAATGAGGAAATAGATGACCTATTTTCAATAAATTGCAGTTTAAATAATCAGCTTTCATTCTTATTTTCTGCATTTCCCAATTTAAGAATTAACGTCTCATATAACTTTTTATTTACTTCTTTCATTTCTAATATATTTTCACATATGCAAATGCCTTTTTCTCGAACAGTTTCGCGTAAGTAATGTTCTTACTTTCAACTGAGTTTTGACTGCTGTTACGCAAGTTCAATAAATAACCCTGTAAATAAATCATGATAGAAAATTGTTTTAAAATTAGTTTTCAGACCTGCAGTAATGTTGGACGATTTTGTGAATGTTTTCCTTTTTATTTATTTTTAGATGGTTTCTATGTATTTTTGTAGTGTTGTATATTATTTTAAATGTGCTTTATGTAAGAATTTTATTGTGTATTTTTCTGAATTTTTAGCCACATGTAGCAATTGGAGATGTTTATTGCAGGTCGTATTTATTTATCAATTTACAAATGCTTGGCTTTTGGTTATAATTCTGAAGTGATCCCTTAGGCAGGTAGCGCTGGAGGCTCTGCCATAATCACACAAACGAAACCAAATCACATACCACACTGTATACTGGACCATGCACAGAACAAAAGCCTCTAACTTCCATGTCAGTGAGCTATGTGGATGTTTTCGTGATTTTTTTCATATACGGTATAGTAAGAATTATTTCCCATGAAATGCATCCTCCTCATCTAGCAGATAGCTCCGCGGTGTTTTGCCGTAATCAGCTAATTCCTAAACCAGAAATCTATCAGTATAACTAGATAAAACAGCTCACCAGCAGCCGAGTAGTAAAATCGCTGAACACTGGTTCTTCCGACCTGGGCTCGATTTCAGACGAACGAATTGGCTGCATGGCCATTTTCGTGGTTTTCCCCACGTGTAACGTATATATGAGCAAGTTTCCCTTAGAAAGTCTTCCACATAACATGCCTCCCATTATTCAGATAACCATTGCGTGCTTTGCCATAATTCAATAAATCAAACCAAAACCATCTAGATAAAACAATGATTTTTCCCATATTAGCTTTCCCAAAGCATTAAATATCAAAGGCCAGTAGTTCAAATGAACTAACATTCAAGATCTAGGCACAAAGCATTCAAGAAAAAATATCGAATGAACATTAGTACCAAATACTAAAGGTCCAAACCATGGGTGTCTAAACTATAACCTTTTAAGGGCCGAATTGCAAAGAAAAAATATTTGAGGGACCGCATTGCTTAGAAAAAAAATTGTGGGGCCACACATATAATATTTTTTAACAAGTTGAAATAAAAATTAGCTCTATATTGTTTTATTAAAAGTAAATTAACTTTTCTTTTTTTATTTTTTTATAATTTGAATTATCTATGTATAGGTACATATTTATAATCAATTTGTACAAGTTTCGTTTCATTTAGTTTGGATTTCATAAAAATTCAACTTAATGAGAAGAAAAATTAAAAAAAAACATATTTAAAAATTTTAAAATTAAGGAGAAAATTCAACTTAATAAGATGGATGAATTTGCTTTTGTTGAACAAGCAAATCGATATCGGGTTCAACAGACGAGGTTGCAATTCTTAATACATTTTCAAGATGTTTGTCGGTGATCTTCGTCCTATTTTTGTTTTTTGTATGCTTCATATGTGAAAATAATTGTTCACAAATGTAATTATTGCCAAAATCTGAAGACATTAATAAAGCATGATTGTGAAAATTAGGATATTTATCGCGGGATAGGTAATATTATAAATCTTCAGTAAAGAAAATTTTCAAATTTTTCTTTCAGTTGAATGTCACTCTGTAATTCAATGCATTCCATTTGAAGATTTGAAGGCTATATAATTTCTCCCGCCGTAGCGTGCCTTCGTGGTGTAATGGTTCTGCACGCTGGGCCGGTATTCAAAAATTAATGCAGCTTATTTTACACATTTTGTGCAACTCAGAGGTTTATGTACAGACAAAGTACTGAAATATATCAAATCTTTTACTTTTATTTGATTGTGCCAAAATTTTAACTTTTTTTCAAACGCTGTTATTGTTTGGACATATTAATAATAAGTTGACTTTTTCCTTGAAATCTCAAATTTAAATCATTCAAATGTTCTGTTATGTTTACTAAAAAAGCTAAATCTAAAACTCAATCTTCGTCTTGAAATTGTAACAGGTTTCCCTTTTGTTTCCATAAATGTTTTTGTTTCAGTTCTTAAATCGCAAAATCTTTTGAGTATTTTCCCCTTACTGACCATGTCACTTCTGTATAATAAATAACATCTTCAAATTCAGTTCCCATTACCTTCAGAAAATTTTGACATTGTCTATGAATAAGTCTATGATTGAAAATAAGTTAAACTTGCGTACGCTATTTTCATGTGACCCGTATTACGAAATGGATTTCACATTCCGTGGAAATCGCGGGAGCCGTACGCGGAGGACTTTAATACATCATGACATACTTGGCGTAGCCCGTATAGGGTCATGGGGCAAACTTTGTTTTGCAAGGTGAACCGGGCTGCGCCTTAACAAAACAAAACAAAACATCATGACATACTAAGATGTTTTTATTTAAATTTTTATTTTAAAATAAATGTCAGTGAATCGATTATATATGAATTAAATTCAATTTTCAGATTCTGATTATTTAAGAAAGCCTTGTTCTTTCCCTGTCAAATTTATTTTTGTTATTTAGAGAAATACCGTTGCTTTGATTTTAAGTCGTTTCCATTGCTTAATTCTTAGCAATATTATAATCAGAAGAATGAATTTCACTTCTTTCTCTGTTTGGATACCAATATATGGTGCCGAATTGCAATTACTTTTGTTCGATTTGTTATCACCATAGAACTGGGGGGAGTGAACTGACTTAAAAACAAAACTCACGGGGGACAGGGCGGAAGATGAGATGTCTCAAAGGAGTTTTTTTTTTTTTTTCTTTCTTTTCCATTTTTTCTCCCCTTCGCCTCCTCGTTATACCGGTGTAGGGCTATGCAGCCTTGGAAAGGAAAGCCCACATGTAAACAAGATTCCCAAATGCGAACTTCTAATTTAAGCTTAAATAAATTGTTTT